CACTACCTGCAAGTGTGCCAGTGCTTTGTAACGGACGTGTCTCATCTTACCTAATCCTCTCCGTAGCCCTTAGGGGTGTTATTTCTCCCTTTTCCTTATCATATACATGGACAAACTGAGGCTGAGTTTGAGTTTTCATAAAGCAGAAAGCTTATAGGGGACAAATTAGAATTTCAATAGATGTTCTACTTCCAAGCCTAATTCTTTTCCTCTACACCATATTACTGTCTTTTAAAACTACTGTTTTTAATGGTGATACTGTTCAGAGTTGTGGTTTTTTTAAGAAGATGTAAGGAGAGCCTGGTTGCTTCCTTGGCTTTAGGGATAAGCTTCCTTGTTGCAAGGCGTTTTGTGGGAGGGCTGAGCTTTGGCTGGGGCTTTATGACCCTGCAGCATAGGGGAGCATCCTTTGAACTGAATCAAGTGTCCCTTGACCAGCACTTACTGAAGAAACGTGTTCCAGGCTTGTCTTCTTTTGATCACTTTTTCTATTGCATAATAATTCACATTGTGCAACAGCGTTGGAGTGGGAGCTTGCCTCATTACCCAGTAATTTCCTTTAACAGTAAAGCTGAGCTAGAGACATTTGGCCGCTTCTCGTTTTCCTGTGGCTAAATATAAAACGTAAGATGAAGTTCTCCTACTGTTCAAGGGAAAGGAATGGGAGTCTTTGAGCAAAGCTTAGAGAAAAAATTAATGGGGAGGTAAAATTTACGAAGGTTCCCAAACTGACAGGTACGTACCACAAAGGGCTTAGTAGAGTCGTTCAGCCAACAGAGATTTGTTGATTCTTTCTATGGACTTGAACTAGACACTGAATTGATGCAAAAAAATAGGAGACATTGTCCCTGTCCTCAGGACCCTTACGCTCTTCTAATTCAGGCTCAATAAACTTTTAACAAAGGCTCATTTAGTAAATATTTTAGCCTTTGCAGCCATTCAGCGTCCATCCCAACTTTCAATGCTATCATCATAGTGCAAAGTAGCCATAACTAATATGTAGACATTTAAATAAGTATGCCTGTGTTCTAGTGAACGTGGGCACTGAAATTTGAGTTTCATAAACTTATACATGGCATGAAATATTATTCCTCCAATCATTTAAAAATGTGAAAACTACTACATCAAATTAAAAATCTTCTGCACAGCAAAGGAAACCATCAAAACGAAAGGCAACCTATGGAATGGGAGAAAACATTTGCAAACCACATATTTGATAAGGGGTTAATATGTGTTTTGTTATTAACACACTAAATAGCAAGACGGGTCTAATAACTACCACAATTTTGAGTAGTGATGAGTATATATGATCTACTGAAATACATACACATGCGATGGCAGGTCTGTGGTTCACTTCAGAATCCTCTCAGAGCAAGACAGTGAGGGGCCTTTAGATGTAGTGAGATTGAGCATGAATTGAAGACTTGCTATAGCTGGGTGATGGGTACTTGGAGGTCCATTATATTATTCTTTGTATGCCTTTGAAATTCTCCATAATAAGGTTAAAAAGAAAAAGACAGGTGAATGTCAAACATTAAAATCACAGATTCTGGGCCAGTGTTTTGAAGTGGCGGTGTACAGAGTAGATTAGAGGGAAGGCAGCTGAGAGCTGAGTGGGGAAAAAGTATTTGGGGCCGGCTGCATGGAACGCAATTTGAGGACATCTAAGGAGGAAAGGGCAGGTAGGCACATGGCAATAGAGGGTCGGAGCTTGGAGAGGTCTGAGGTCCTGCACTTAGACACTCACAGCCATGAGCACAAAGCAGCTTTCAGAGGGCAGAGAATCAATGACTACACCTCAGGGAAGGAGCAGACTACAGTTCAGAAATAATAAATAAAGGGAAGCCCGCTGAACCAGCAAAGGAGATAATTAGCCCAGGCCCCCATCTAAAGTTGACTTTTGTTAAATGACAGGAGCACTGAACAGATAAGGAGCTACTTTGCACTCTGGCCACCTCGAGGTTTTCTTAGCTCTTTTTCCAGTGAAGGTGAACTAGTTCAGAACAATGTATTATAAGGACGCAATCAGGCTCTGTCATCTCTGTAAACTGCAACCCCAACTTCCCTTTGGAAGTTGCACAATGCCATTTTGAAACGGTTTCAAAAGCTCTTTAGACCTGGAGCTGGCTCTTTGGCTGGACTCCATTCTGTACCAGGTTTGGGCCAAACACCAAAGTGGCTTTCACTGGACCCAAGTAGGAGGTGGCCGAGAGCTGTCTCACATTTTATTTTCAAGAAGGACCTGCACAAGGAAGCCAGGTCAAAAGACATGGTTGTCCCAACACAGCTCTCCATCCCGGTGACTATGCACTCTTGTCGTAGGGTGTCCCCTCTCTATACTTGTTTCTCTCCAGTTAATCTGAATATCACTATGCACTCTGCTTACATGGAGAAGCCTACAGAAGGAGGGATGTTATTTTCAACTTTCATACTCATTCACCTCGGACTGTGATATCCTGCTTTCAGCGGCTGATTATTCTACACAAACAGGCTTGTAGCAAGTGTGGGAGAGGAAGAAACTTTCCTCTACCTTTCAACATTCTTCAACTGGTCTAACAGTTAAATCTACATGAGACAGATTAACAACAGAAAATAACAAAATTAAATTAACAAATTTAATTTCATACGTACATACAGGAACCCTCCCCTTCCCCCCCACCCCACACACACAAGTCAGAGACACCGCATGCCTGAGAGGTTCAGAGACAGGGAAAATGAGGCACATGTGACATTCTGAGCTGAGGATGTGGTAAGGCACCTGGGGCTTCAGAGGGTCATTGCAGGACAATAAGAGCAGATGTTCAGTAATTAGTAGTTAGCCCTGCCCCATAGACAGATCAAAAAAGGTCATCTCTGATCTCTCTTACCATGGGCAAGGCCCCTAATTCATATTCTTCTGGGCAGTGAAGGGGGAGGAAAGCAGAAGTTTCTTGTGAGCCTGCAGGGTCTTCATTACCTTCAGCCCCAAATAATTCACATACCAAAGTGGCCCATCTTGGGGAGGCCTGTTCTGAACCCCTACACAAGAATGGGGCAAAGGGATGATACAGGGAAATGACATGCAACTAGTCTCCCAGCATCAAACTGTTTTAAACAAAAATGTTAGGGATTTGAACTTGATAGTCTGGAAACAAAGTTTAAAGCGGGCTTTAGAGAGCTGCCTGCCCACAGCTGGAATACTGTCATCTTGCCGTGAAGCACACTCTGTTGTGATGGTCTGTGCACAGGCAGGTCTCCCCTGCTAGTCTATGTTTAAGATCAGGGTGCACGTTTATTACCAGCATCCAGAAAAGTGCCTGGCTCACAGCAATGTTCAAACATGATTCAATCAGTAAACATATGAACAGATGCACAAATAGCTCTGAGGATTTGGTCTTTTAGGATGCAGAAATTATGAGTTAGATACCATTTTTTTCAAAACTCCTTCAAAACAGGACATAAGCATTTGATCTGCCACATAATGAAATAACAATACTTTCCCATAAGGGCATTACGTTTGAGGTAAATCAATGAGACAAATACATGAGAGGTACTTCCAGTTTCTTAAAGAACAGCTGTTATTTCATAGACCACAAAGAAAAACAACAACAAGCAGTTGGCCTGCATTTCCTTCTGCAAGTCAATCTCTCAGACTTAACTTGGGATTTGTTATTTCTAGGCACCAAGAGAAAATAGGTTGCCAGCTCTTCCCTTAAACTGGAAGGTCTTCCCCAAGCAGGGTTAGCCGTTAGAATGCACAGGGGGCTGCTAGGCCAGCACTCGCTCCTGATCACTGCCTTACTCCCCTGCAAAACGTTCCCAGGCATCTGCAGGTCTCACAGTCTGCCTTGCTTGTCCCCAAGAGCATCACCCACCCCCTTCAGGCTGCAAGGCAGGATATGAACACAAGGCTGCTCTTTGGTACAAAGTGTCTGTCCCTGTCTCAGAGGGCTAGTTAAGCATTCTGTCAAAGAGAACTGCCAATGATTTGTTGTTGCTGAGAGTGCCCTTATTGGATTCCCACATAATTTCAAGACCGGCAGCATGAAATGGCCTCAGAGAACACTTAGTAAAATCTCTACATCTTAAAAATGACAGAATTATCACCCAAAGTCCATAGTTTACTAGGGCTCACTCTTAGTGTTGTACATTCTATGGGTTTGGACAAAGGTATAGTGGCGTGCATTCACTATTATACGTAATATCTTACAGAGAATTTTTATTTTCTTACTGCCCTGAAAGTCCTCTGTGCTCCACTTACTCAATCCTCTCTCCGTGCTAATCCCTGGCAACCAATGGTCTTATAATTGCCTCTACAGCTTAGGTGATGATGTGTGAATGTAGGTAAGTTCATCAGCAGTAATGAATGCATCACCCTGGTGGGGGATGGTGCAAATAGGGGAGGCTATGCATGTGGAGGGGCAGGAGTTATGTGGGATATCTCTTACCTACCTCTCAACTTTGCTGTGAACCTAGGACTGCCCTAAGAAAACTCGTTTAAAAAATAACAAACTTTGCGATGGAGATGACCAAGGTCACAGAGCTGATCTACAGCAGACCAATATTAGAACCCAGGGCCTATGGTGCAAGCTTTATGCACCATAAATTATGCTACCCTGCATCCCATTATAAAGTCAAGAAATACTTAGTGAGCATCCGTGGTCTGCTATTTCTTGGAAATACAAGGGAGAAATAGAGTAGGGGGAATCTCCTGTAAGTTCAACTGATCATCTGCTCATGTGAGTGGCAGAGAAGTGGAGTATGTCCTGAGGTTTACATCTGGGTTCTGTTTTCCCACCACCATCTCCCCAAAAATGCACACACGCCCCGGCACTTCCACACTTTTGATAGTGCTGTGCTCTGTGCCTGGAAGACTTTCTATTCCACCTTCAGCTGCTACTCGCCTCCAAAGGTGAAGCAGCTCATTCACCACCTCTTCTGTGAGGCTGTCTCTGGGCAGAATGACTGTCCCTCACACACTTCTGACCTCTGAGCATTTTGCAAATAACTCTATTATAGAATTTGTAAGAATAACAGTTATTTATTAGCCCTCCAATTAGACTGTGAGCTCCATTACAACAGAACTGGATCTCAATCACTTCTGTATTTTCAGAAACAAACTTGTGATGGGGTACAATTTACATGCTCAAAAAACCGTAGAGAAGACACAGATCTACCATTTCTTTTTTTCCAGAGTACAGTTTGAGGCTTGAAAATGTTATAACATGAAAATAAATAGAGCTTCTACAATGAAGCAGCTGATAGAATATTTGAATACTGTAGGGCACAAGCTATGTATCACTAAGATATAAAAACATTTTTTTCCTTTACTTTAGAAAATTGATTGTCAACAATATTATAATTTTTCATATCTGAAACTGTTTATAACCATTTAGGTTAATAGTAAGAATAATAATCGGTGATCACTGGCTTTAAAAATAGAAAGTCACATAAAATACATAAAGTATAGAAAGAACAGCTTGGTCCTAGCTCAGGAGTACTCACTCTCTGGGAGTCATTTTGGAAGGTTCTGAGGCCAACAGTTACGAGGAGGGCAGAAGGCACAGACTAAAATAATAAACCTGGAAAAGAAAACCTATTATTAAAAAGTCTGGCTTTGGATTTTGATTACGTACGAACAAGGCAAAAAAAGCAAAGTCAGGTAAATAGTTATTTATCATCCTTGCTGCCTCAGGAACAAGAATTAAATTGTGCTGGAGCAAAAGATGGTACAATAAAGTACTTTCCAAGTTTCAAATAACCAACTGGTTGATTCAAGATGTAAAGAGATGATGGGTAAGCTGTTTTATCCTAGAACTAAAAAAAAAACCACAAAAAAAACCCACTATCTTTTTAAAGTGTCTTTTGCTCCTGTTTACCAGTTTCTGTAAACTGTACTTTCCCTGAACATGAAGACATTTGATCTGCTCATTTATTTTGCTCTATAAGCACCTGATAGAAATATAAATACAGGGGTTGGCAAAAGCAGGTCTACAGCTGTGAGTGTGGGAAACAGAGTTTATTCCTGTACTATTATTTATTCATTGTTGCATTATTTTCCATATGAACACCACTGTAAACCTACTCTTGCCCATTCCATATACATACAGGAGCACCTCAGAGACACTGAGAGGTCGGTTCCAGACTCCCAGAATAAAGTGAGCTGTAATCTTTTTTCTGGTGGAAGGTCTTGCCTTCAGTTTGTAAAAACCGCAACACCTGTGAAGGTCAACAGAGCGAAGCGCAATAAAACGCAGTCTGCCTGTACATGTAAAATGCGGGCATCTTACATATGACAGCCCAGAATTTACTAATTACATAGGCTTTCTGGCCATTTCAATTATTCATAAAAAGAATTACAGAAAAAACATATTTGTTATTTATTGTAATTAAAGTACATTCATTAATATGTTTTTTAAATCTTCATTTTTTTAAATTCTGATAATGCCAAGTCTTATCCTTTTAACAGGAATGTTAGTTTGTTAGGTTTGCCTATCTTTTATTTACATTAGAGATCAAACATAAGACAATGAGGAATGTGGGTCTATTAAGAAAATATAAATACTTGTAGTGACAGTTTAAATCCCTTGTCCCTTACAAACAATGGTTAAGAAATCAAGTTCAGCTTAATCATAGGTAAAGGTAATTGTGCCCAAGGCTGGAATATTTCACTCTGCTTTTGCCTGCAGGTTATACTTTTGTGGCTGGAAAAAATGTTCTTCAATAGCAGTGACTAGTTCATTTAGTTCCTTCTTCAGCTGCTCAGGATCACTGCAAAGTAAGGGGGAAAAATTCCAGATCAGTGGATTATTCTGAAATTGATAAACCATATTTTAAATTCTCCCCACAGTGACCAAGTAACGCTGAAATGTAACCTTAAGAGGAGGGATAAATCAGACAAAACAGGACTCCAGCAACTTCAGCCTCTGCTGACGTGGACACAAAAAATCCCACGAGACAACATCCATTATTTTCCCCAAAGGCTTTCCCAAAGTCTCAACCATAAACAAAAATCATCCCTTTCCAGGCCTCAAAAGAATTGTTAAGAAACACAATTTTTGGTCTCGCATCCCTAAAAGATCTGCAATGTTTGTAACCAACAGTGCAGGGAAAATTTTCACAACTCCAGTTGTCATCAAATCCTGCTGAACTTTTACAAGCGACATCTGTTATGTCCTAGGTCTCCCAGGATAAGAATGTTCCTGATCCTATTTGCCCACAAACTGCTGGAAGCTAAGCAGCATAGGCGTCTGTAAGGCCTTCCTAGGATGGACAGAGATGGGGAGCCTCCTAGCGGGCCTGCTAGTCACATACTAGGAATTCAGACCCTGGGGTTTACCTTTATTATTCCACCCCCAGAACAAATGGGCCACCACGGAAATATCAACAATAATCTAGGGAGCTAGATCCCTCTAAGGAAATCAAGTTTTCAAGCATGTGGAAAACACTCATTCATGTATAAATAATTGGCAGGTAGATAACAGATAAAAGGGACTTGTAATTAGACCAGTTTCCTGCAGCCCATATAAGTGCCAGGCCACTAAGCACAGTGTGAATTACTCTAAGAACTTTAAACCAAAAAGCTAATTTAAAACACTAAATCCTTCAATTCAAAATTTCATTACTTCATACTTGACCATCTTTAATATATACAAACTCTTTTTAATGGTGATGGCAATTCTTGTAATTTCAGATCATTTTTACATTGTGAAAGCTAAGAGTACAACTAAATCTATTTTATTACAGGTGTTCATTCTGGCTCCACTGGTTACTAGTGTGTGCCCTTGGGCAAGTGGTTTAGCCGCTGGAAGGCCCAGATTCCTCATTTGTAAAATTGGGATAAAGACTTTACCTTCTCTAGAGAGTTGTTGTATAGATTGAGATAAATTATATAAAGCAATTAGCATAGAACCTGGCCCAAAAACCTCAATAAATGTAGCTGTCTTTATAATTATTTTTACCCTCATTGGTAACATAATTATGCTTCATAAGTACATGTAAATCACACAGGTCTTTTTTTCCTTCCCTATAAGTATGCTTTGAAAAAAAAAATATTTCTCAGGAAGGCACATAACTGAAAATTACTATGGTGGTGTTTTTTTCAACAATATACCTAAAACTAAAACTCAACAGTGAATTTACTATACACAGACATATGTCTGTATGTCCATACAGAGAGATAGATATCTATATATAGCCCCTACTGGTTTTGTTTCTGTTAGAACCCTCCCTGATATAATTATTATCTAAACCTTAGATAGTAAGAAAATGTCTTTGTTCTTCTTAGGAATGCATATTAAAGTCTGTGACTTACTTTCCAATGGCTCAGGGGAAAAAAAAAACACACACACAACCAAAAATATAATATATACAGTGAGAAAGAGCAAATATCACAAAATGTTAGCAATTGCTAATTCTAGGTTGGGGTAGGCAAACTCAGGCTTATGACTGACTGTTTTTGTCAAGTTTTACTGGAACACAGCCACACCCATTCCTTCATGTCTAAGGCTGCTTTCTCCCCACAACAGCAGAGCTGAGTACTTGTGACAGAGACAATATGGCCTGTAAACCCTAAAATATTTACTATCTAGCTCCTTACAGGAAGAACTTGCCAACCCCTGGTCTAAGCAAGAGTATGTAATATTCACTACATTATTATTTCAACATTTCTGTAGGTTTATTTTCCAAAATAAAAACTAAAGATATCTACCCCAACAAAAATATTTTTCTAAAAGCAGGACTTATACTGGAAAAGGATTTCACATTCTAAAGGATTAGTAGGTTGTGAAATTCTATGAATAAATGAAATTCATGATATGACTATATTAATAATATTTTAGGTTATCAGAAAATAAGGAAACCTTAGCCATGGCTTTACTGCTATTGTACATTAGGCCTGCTGGTGCCTGGCTTAAGCCCTGACTGCGTAGCCATGGATGATCCCCAACGTCCCATTTAAAAAAAGCAAGCAATATTTCAATGAATACAATACTAGACAAATTTTCAAAGTATTTTCAGCAATTTATAGACCACTATTTGAATAAGTCCTCTCAATAAGCCATGTGAAAAATGTCAATAGCATAGATTCTTAAACCTTAAATAGTATTGTTATTATAAAGGAAAGTTTTCTGAAATATTAGGCACATTTTCACAGGATAATGAAAAGGAAAAGATAAAAACATATAGAAAACAATTTTAAATTGGCCTAATGTCTGTTTTCGAAAGCATGAGACGCAGAAATATAAAAACACTAAGTGCGAATGAGAATTACAAAGTCAATGGAAAATCACACGTGACATAGTAGCAAACAGCTTGTTATTTACCACACATGGAAAGCCTGATACTTGCTCAATGTTCAGTAGAACATTCGAAATGCAAAGTGTTCAGAAAATGAGCTGTTTTATGGTGTTTAAGTTGCCTAACAGTTGAATTTTTGCCCTTTAAGCCCAAGAAGGTTTTGAATGGGAACCTGCAGCAAATTCTGTTCCACAGTCCCGTAACCTCATAGAAATCTTCAAGTATCTTGATGCTTGAGAACTGTAATCAGGACTCTGACGGCTGTTCTGCAGCTCTTACCCGAAGATCCAGGGCCCACTGGGTGAGGAATGCTATTTCATGTACAATAAACTCCGGAGTGGTGACACTGGGTTCTCGTCCAGGTTTCCAGTTTTGTTTCACTTTAGTATTTTTTTGCTTTATGATCCGCACTCACTTTCCCTGCCTAAGGAAAGTCTAACCCTAACAACTGTTTCCCCACCCCCTCACTTGCTACGTTTTCATCCGCTATTGGCTTACCAATCTAAGATGCTCCGAAACGTTCCTCTGCTCCCACTTCCCCACGGTGCAAATCTGATTCACAAAGCCAGAGAAACCCTTCTAACAGCAAAGCTTTGGGATACATAAGCTGTAACCACTGAGATTTATGCTATCTACTACAGTAGCCATCAGCCACACGGGCCTGTCGAGCACCTGAAATGTGACTAGTGCAACCAAGGAACCGATTTAATTTTGTTTAAGTCTGATTGAAATTCAAATTTAACAACTGACACTTGATTCGGTTGTTGGAAAACTCATTTAAGTATGTTTGGAACAACTAGGGTATCAAAACCTACCTTTTCAACTGTAAATTTTATGAAATCTAAATATAGATCAAGTATTTCTGAAACACTAATCAGAAAGAATATATGCACCCCTATGTTCATAGCAGTGCAATTTACAATAGCTAAGATCTGGAAACAGCCCAGGTGCCCATCAGTAGATGAGCGGATAAAAAAGCTGTGGGACATTCACACCATGGAATACTATGCAGCTGTAAAAAGGAAGAATCTCGTACCATTTGGGACAGTATGGAGGGAACTGGAGAGTATCATGCTAAGTGAAATAAGCCAGGCAGAGAAAGACAAGTACCACATGATCTCACTTATATGTGGAATGTAATAAAATAAACTGATGAACAAAACAGATCCAGAGACACAGAAGCATAGAACAGACTGAGGGATCTCAGAGGGAAGGTGCGGAGGTGGGAGTGGGTGGAGAGAGATTAATCAAAGAACTTATATGCTTATATGCATAACCCATGGACAGAGACATTGGTATGGAGAAGGCCTGGGGTGGGGTGGATGCAGGGTGGAGGAGATCAGTGGGGGGGGGGAAGAGGACATCTGTAATACTTTCAACAATATAGATATATTAAAAAAAAAAAATTTGGCATTTGAATTGAGATACATGGCAAGTTGCAAGATACTAAATGGATTGTGAAGACAATGTGACAAAAATGTGAAATATCTCAATAATTTTTATTATGGATTATATATTGTAATAACATTTAAATAGACTAAGTTAAATAAAATATATTATTAAAATTAATTTTACCTATTTCTATTCACTAATGGAAAATTAAAATTGCAAATGTGGCTCTCATTTTACTTCTATTGGAAAGAGCTGACTCCACCTTAAAATCTGTTTTCCCCAATTCTTAACTGGAATCTAAATGGAGATGTGCTAATTAACTGCGGGTCTAGTAGGTTTGCACATGCTAAAGACACACACCACAGTTGTTAAAGCTCAAAATGTTACAGTTGTTGGAAAGTGACCAACTCGAACCCTTCCCCATAGTCACAGAGACGTGACCCTGAAGCTAAGGACTCTTTAAAGCTGGCTCTTTATCCTGGGAACCAGCACAGAATTATGCAAATAGATGTTCAAAATATTTGCCGAATGCATGTGCAACGGATNGTACTAGGGTTCTCTTTTCTCCACATTTCTCCATTTTGTGTTTATTATGTACGGTATAAGTTGGTGGTCTAGTTTCATTTCTTTTTTCTATGTTCATAGCAGCACTATTTACAATAGCTAAGATCTGGAAACAGCCCAGGTGCCCATCAGTAGATGAGCGGATAAAAAAGCTGTGGGACATTCACACCATGGAATACTATGCAGCTGTAAAAAGGAAGAATCTCGTACCATTTGGGACAGTATGGAGGGAACTGGAGAGTATCATGCTAAGTGAAATAAGCCAGGCAGAGAAAGACAAGTACCACATGATCTCACTTATATGTGGAATGTAATAAAATAAACTGATGAACAAAACAGATCCAGAGACACAGAAGCATAGAACAGACTGAGGGATCTCAGAGGGAAGGTGCGGAGGTGGGAGTGGGTGGAGAGAGATTAATCAAAGAACTTATATGCTTATATGCATAACCCATGGACAGAGACATTGGTATGGAGAAGGCCTGGGGTGGGGTGGATGCAGGGTGGAGGAGATCAGTGGGGGGGGGGAAGAGGACATCTGTAATACTTTCAACAATATAGATATATTAAAAAAAAAAAATTTGGCATTTGAATTGAGATACATGGCAAGTTGCAAGATACTAAATGGATTGTGAAGACAATGTGACAAAAATGTGAAATATCTCAATAATTTTTATTATGGATTATATATTGTAATAACATTTAAATAGACTAAGTTAAATAAAATATATTATTAAAATTAATTTTACCTATTTCTATTCACTAATGGAAAATTAAAATTGCAAATGTGGCTCTCATTTTACTTCTATTGGAAAGAGCTGACTCCACCTTAAAATCTGTTTTCCCCAATTCTTAACTGGAATCTAAATGGAGATGTGCTAATTAACTGCGGGTCTAGTAGGTTTGCACATGCTAAAGACACACACCACAGTTGTTAAAGCTCAAAATGTTACAGTTGTTGGAAAGTGACCAACTCGAACCCTTCCCCATAGTCACAGAGACGTGACCCTGAAGCTAAGGACTCTTTAAAGCTGGCTCTTTATCCTGGGAACCAGCACAGAATTATGCAAATAGATGTTCAAAATATTTGCCGAATGCATGTGCAACGGATTTTAATTTATTGTATCAGATACATGCGGAAAAAGAGAGAAACTCACCGGTGCTGCCTCAAGTAAAAAGTACTAGAAAAGGAAATGTTACTATTCTTCCTGAAATTAGGAATGAAATTTGCTCGCCCAAAGGAAAGTTGGGAGAGAGAGAGAAGTGACTAGGCAGGAAGCAAATGCTTTTGTCCCTGGATGCTTCAGGCAGCTGTTAATATCACAATATTGCTATCGGTTCTGAAATGAGCCTCCTAATTAAATGACATATTGGAAAGATGAAATGTTTTACTTTGCATGTGAACAGAACCAACTAGGAAGCTCAGGGGCTAAAAACCATAGCAGCTGCCGCCCATATCTTACCTGTTTCCAGGTGGGGCGCACAGTTCTGCGTAGTACTTGATTTTGGGCTCTGTCCCGCTGGTCCGCATGGTGGCCACACATCCATTAGCAAAGGTAAAGGTGATCATTTGGCTACTTTTACTCGTAGGGAGAACCTAGGAATGAATTACACATGTTCTACATTTATATGGTCACAGAAACTCTTCCAGCCTAAATAATAGTTTCCCCTGGATAAGCAAGAAAATAAATGCCAAACAAATATATTGGTTCAGAAAGAATATTTTTGAGAAAAATCTAAAAATGTAATCCGTATAAATAACATACTAAATAATAAGAAAAGTTGTGAAATTTAAGTAACTTTGTATAGTAGGCTTTTTACCTCTGTGTTCTAGTCATTAAAACTATTAAAGGGCCCTGGCCAGTGTGCTCAGTGGCTAGAGCATTGGCCCTCGCACCGAGGGATCAAGGGCTTGATTCCCGGTCAAGGGCACGTACCTGGGTTGTAGGTTTGATCCCCAGCCCTGGTCAGGGTGCCTGTGAGAGGCAACCAATGGATGTGTCTCTCACACTGATGTGTCTCTGTCTCTCTCTCTATCTCTCTCCCTTCCACTCTCTCTGCAAAGCAACAGAAAAAATATCCTCGGGTAAAGATTAAAAAAAAGCCAGCTTCCTGCTCTCTGGGCCTGAACATATTTTAGGGCTGACTGTGAAGAAAAAAAAAAGTTGCTAGCAGTGAAGAACTCAGTTCTGACCAAAGAGAAACAGGACAGCCAAACATTTCCCTTCTGGTGTAAAATAAAGTTTCCTTTTGACTTACTTTTTCTCTTCCTGAAGTGTCCATTAACTAGTTTCTGTATTTCCACACAGTCTTCATGATTACCAATTTTAATAATTTTAACATTATAATTTAACATCATAAAGCAAATTTTGAATCATTTGGGCATTTTGATTCTTTTCAAATGCTCTCTATAGATAACATACAATGGGAATTTCAAGTATGTGGATTTTATTTTTCCTTTAGACTATTTCCTTACAATAAATTTCAGAGGAGTGGGATCGCTGAGTCAGAGAGTGTGAGCATTGTTATGACTCTATAACTCCATTATGGTGTTACTTATGAAACCATTGTGCCAACTTGCATTGCAACTAGAATATAATGGGGAGAATATGTCATTGCATACTTTCCAGCATTGACTTTTATCTATAAAAAGATAATAAAACAAGCAAACAACAAAAAATATTTTTTGTAATTAAATGAGATTTTAAATGTGCCTTAAATTTTGTTTAAATTTTAGGTCTTTCATTACTGTTATAGAAGAAATTTTTCGATATTCCAATTTGCATTTTTTCTGAGTGTTTATGCTTTATGCTGATTTACCTGTTCAACTCCTAAGACTTTTCCATAAAATTAAGCATAGAATTATTGTTTATTAATCAAACAGTCTTGCTATCAGTTGGCTTACATACTTTTTAAAAAAATATTTTTATTGGTTTTTAGAGAGGGAGAAAGAGAAAGAGATACATCGATGTCAGAGGGAACCATCGATCAGCCGCCTCCTGCACGCCCCCCACCAGGATTGAGCCTGCAACCGTGGCACATGCCCTGACCGAGAATTGAACCCACAACCTTTTTTGGTGCAACCAACTGAGCCACACTGGCCAGGGCGAAGGCCTATATACTCTTAAAGGATTGTTCTATTTATGGTACATTTACCAGGGTTTGAACAACAGAAAGAAACTGAAATCCTGAGAATATTCAACAGTTTCCACAAAGAGCTTAAATTTGGGGCGGGGGTGGGAGGGGGTGAGTTTAACAGCTACGACAGCAAAAGCAGTTAAGACCAGTTATCCACTTACCAAAGAGGCACGGTTTGGTTTCAAAATGATTGTAGTGGCCAAGTTTAAAGTAAAGAGGGAGGGAAAAACCTCCCAGATGAGCATCTGCTAAGAAATAAATGCCTTTATTGCCTCTCCTTTCCTTGCGCTTTCTCTGTGTGGGCAGGTTAAGGGGGTTCCTGCGAACGTCTGAGCATGCTGTTTTGTACGGAGCTCACTTAGTCTCTTCTTCCCAAGTCCTTGACCCAGATAAAGAAAGATATGATTTCCAAATTCAATGAAAGCTTAAATTGGAGGTGAGGGGGAAAATGCTATCTCAGCTCCAAGTCTGATTTCTCTGCTGCCCTGCGGTTATAATTGTAAAGTAGAGCTTCCCTCCAAAATACCTCCCTCTGTTCCTCCAGGCCTCACAGAGTCACCCTGTGGGAAGGGGCTCTGAGACGNGGCGCAACAGTAAGACCGGAAGCCAAACCATAATGGAGCAATGCTTTCAAAACTGTGACTCAATAAAGTCGGAGGGTAGAATAAGACATTTGCAAATCTACATGTCTCAAATTTACCTCCCATTCACTTTTTCTCAGGAAGCTACTAGAGGGTGTGATTTAGGAAAAAGGGCATTCCCAGGATGACCCCAAACCAGAAAGCAGCCGGCCCAGCCCTGATAGAGGGACCTGGAGGGAAGCCAATGGGAACAAAACAGAACTGACTGACTCTGGCCGAATCACTGGACCCTGCGGAAACCCTAGAGGTACTTGAAAGGTGTGGGATGAACTGGTGATAGTTACACAGAAATCCAAGCAATCAAGAGAACAAAGCAGCCGGGCTGGAGTGGCTCAGTGGCTAAGCATTGACCTACGATCCAGAAGGTCACGTTTGATCCCCGGTCAGGGCACATGCCCAGGTTTCGGGCTCAATCCCTAGCAGGGGGCGTGCAGGAGGCAGCCGATCAATGACTCTCTCGTCAAGGCTTCTCTCTCTCTCTCTCCCTCTCCCTTCCTCTCTCTGAAATCAATAAAGACATATTTAAAAAAGAAAACAAGAACAACAAAGCAATGATTAATTATAGGAAAAACAATTTTTCATACAAATTAGGGGAACCTAATCAAAGTGCACTATTGAACTAAGCAGGAAACAGTAGTCATTAGTCCTAACAATACAGCGCACAATCTGATGTCACCCAAAGTTACATTATAAATGTACTGAGGACAGGAGGAAAAGGGGAATATTGAATGCAGGAAGCGTAAGAACTAACTACTTATCTCCATANCCCTCCCACTCTCTCTAAGGATCAATGGGAAAAAATTGAAAAACATCATTTCACAAACAATTTATTTAAATAGGTTAATAAAGCATTGTAAAAAAAGAAAAAAAAGAAAAAAACAACACTAGGCCTTATTTAACTTTGCAAAAAAAGTCTACAAACAGACTTTAAAAATAAAGCTTCTGGCAGATGTATTCACAGCCGATTGTCTCCAAAGCCTCATTAAAACGACAGAAGTACAAAAACCCAAACAAACACAAGGGCAAAGAGAGAAAAAGGAAACAGCAGTTGATGGGGTTGCCAATCAATCCTGGAAGTCAGAAAACAGATGGAGGAGCCGGATTGACCTGGGACACAGGCTGACAGCTGAGCACCTGCAGGCGACAGACAGGAAGCGAGTCGAGGTATCCAGCCGAACCCCGGCCAAGCTCACTACCTGGAGGCACCAGGTACTGCAAAGGGCAGGGGGGAGGCAAAAGTAGTAACTGAAAGTAGCTACGAGACCCTCTCAGATCCTCGCCCTCCGCCCACATGGTAGGAAACCAGCTCACAGATGGTTTCATTCTCTGCTGTAATTCAACCAGAAAGGCTCAGGAGTTGGGGACACCAGGCCCCTTGGAGGACGGGGTACGGTGAAAACCCAATGCCAGCACTCCTCTTCCCATGCCCCTAAGACCTCGCCATCTCTTAAAGCGCCTCAGCATCCAATGTATAGCCCTCAGGCAAGAGATCGGGACAATCGTTAGGCTTCCCCAGATGGGGCTCCCATACAAACATTAATCTGCTACCCAACCTCCCCAGGGTGAAGCATGTCAGTTGACAAGGCTCGTTCATATACACAGAGCTCCTAACCATCTTTTTAGTGCTCAAAGGACAATTAAGGTTCACCAGACTTTGGGGAAAAGACATCAAATAAAAGACAAAGTCCAAAACAAAGAAATGAGGGGAAAAAGAACCCGGAGGAAATAAAAACAATAAGGAGCAAGAAAAGAACTACATTTTTAAAAAGCTGCAATTAATATCCTTAAAAGAGTTAAGATATTATGTACATGAAACAAGATTAGGATGTTATTTTTAATAAGTTAGATAATTAAGAGCTGAAACACAGTCCACAGAAGAACAGAAAGTTAATGTTGAAGAAATCTTCCCCAAAAGTGGGACAAAAATATACAGATGGAAGACAGGAAAGAAATGTGGAAAGCAGAACATCGGTCCTGGAGAGCCAGCACCTAACTGAGAACCCATAGAGAAAGGGAGACCAGGGGAAGGGGTCATTTGAAAAACAACCAGCCAGCCCCCCTCTCTACTGCAAAACCAAGACATTTTCTCAGAAGTAAGAGAAATGACTCTCCAGACCAACAAAGATCCACCAAGTGTCTAGAAAAAGGAATTAAGAGACCTAAAGTATATCGCTGGAATTTTAGAATCCAAAGTTCCTAAAACCTTCCCATACAGAAAAAAGCAAGGCACGGAAAGGACTGAATAAGCGTGGCATCAACGCCCCCGTATGCAGCACACAG